CCTTCCTTATACCTTATACAAAAATTATTTCAAGATGGATTAGAGACTTAAATGTTAGACCTAAAACCATAAAAACTCTAGAAGAAAACCTAGGCAATACCATTCAGGACATAGGCATGGGCAAGGACTTCATGACTAAAACATCAAAAGCAATGAAAACAAAAGCCAAAATTGACAAATGGGATCTAATTAAACTAAAGAGCTTCTGCACAGCAAAAAGAAACTACCATTAGGGTGAACAGGCAACCTATTATAGAATGGGAGAAAATGTTTGCAATCTACCCACCTGACAAAGGGCTAGTATCCAGAATCTACAAAGAAGTCAAATTTACAAATTTACAAGAAAAAGAGAAACAACCCCATCAAAAAGTGGGCAAAGGGTATGAACAGACACTTCTCAAAAGAAGACATCTATGCAGCCAACAGATACATGAAAAAATGCTCATCACCACTGGTCATCAGAGAAATACAAATCAAAACCATAATGGGATACCATCTCATGCCAGTTAGAATGGCAATCATTAAAAAGTCAGGAAACAACAGATGCTGGAGAGGATGTGGAAAAATAGGAATGTTTTTACACTGTTGGTGGGAGTGTAAATTAGTTCAACCACTGTGGAAGACAGTGTGGCGATTCCTCAAGGGTTTAGAACTAGAATTATCATATGACCCAGCAATCCCATTACTGGGTATATACACCCAAAGGATTATAAATCATGCTACTATAAAGACACATGCACACATATGTTTATTGCGGCACTATTCACAATAATAAAAACTTGGAACTAACCCAAATGTCCATCAGTGATAGACTGGATTAAGAAAATGTGGCACATATACACCATGGAATACTATGCAGCCATAAAAAAGGATGCATTCATGTCCTTTGCACGGACATGGATGAAGTTGGAAACCATCATTCTGAGCAAACCATCACAAGGACAGAAAACCAAACACTGCATGTTCTCACTCCTAGGTGGGAACTGAACAATGAGATCACTTGGACACAGGATGGGGAACATCACACACCGGGGCCTGTCAGGGGGTGGGGGAGGGATAGCATTAGGAGAAATACCTAATGTAAATGATGAGTTGATGGGTGCAGCAAACCAATATGGCACATGTATACCTATGTATCAAACCTGCATGTTGTGCACATGTACCCTAGAACTTAAAATATAATAATAAAAAAAGAAAGAAAGAAATCCACTATAGAAGTGACCAAGGAATTTCAGTATCGAAATTTTTTTTGAGCTCAGGATAGCTTTGAACTCCCAGGCTCGAGCAATCCTCCCCACTCAACTCCAGATAATTACAGGCATGAGCTACAATGCATGGCTCATCTTTGATTTTTCTCAATGTCACTTGGGTCTTTTGTGGCCCAGACTAGACAGGGGAATAGCCTGATCATCTGGCCAGATCTAAACTGAAATACCTGATGAGGCAGCTATATTTGGAGAGGCTGAGCTGAGATATGGAAGATGAAGATCTGGTATTGAGGATTCAGGCTTGTAGGGGAAATCTTCAAATGCAAATTATGCACCCTAATTTTTTTAACCGATTCTTTCTTCTGGCTATAATTTACTTTTTTTGGAGATTGCATATATTTACACTTATTTGCTAGGTGTTTGTATTTCTTTTCTGAATTGCCTTTTCCCCTTGATAGTGTATTTTTTGTTCAGTCACTTAGAATAAAAATTCAAGTGTGAAGAAAGAAAAATACTTAATGTAACCTTTTGCTTTATTTTAGAAACTTTTATTTATGTGATTATGCATTTCCTAGATACTAGTTATTTCTGTTCAAGGCCATTTACTCCAGCACCCAAGTGGATTTCTTGATTGCAGATTTATTACTATAGAATGTATTTGCGTAGAATTATTTATTTCCATTACACTGACCTTATTCACACTTCCGTGGTTTAATACAATGAAAAGTTGCTTTGACATTGAAGTTCTGTATTGAGTACCACAAGATATTATTCCCTTACAGCACTTGTATTGTAACTTGCAAACTGAACGTTTGAAAAATCAAAATGAAAGCATGCAGTATAAAGGTCTGCCTTAGAAGGATAATAGCATGCATGTAGGGTACTGTTAAAAAGAGGATTGATTGCATTAGCAGCATCTGGATTTTAGCACAGGGGTCAGTAAATTAGTGGTTGTAGGCCAAGTCCAGCCTGCTGCCTGTCTTTGTAAGTACTTTTTTTTTTTTTAACCTTTAAGCTCTTTGGACTTGAGTAAGTAAAGTTTTACTGAAATACAGAAAAATAAAATAAAATAAAAATAAAGCACACTCACATAACCTAATGACACTTTGCCTTTGTGTTTGGTATATTTATGTTTATTCAACCTAAACACAGTATGTCTATAATTGAATATTTTCAATAAAATTTTGGTATATCAGAAACAAGAATTTTAGTATAATATTTCTAGAGGAAGTTTTTAGTCTCAATTACCAAACTGGTATATTTTCAGTGAGCTAAAATCTCTGATGTATAACCAAAAATGAATCATTTTCAAAGCTACAACTTATTCAAAATATTCATAAGATGTTTCAAATATCAAATATCTGCTGCTCATTAAGATGGCCCTTTATTACCAGGCAAAATATTTATCATACTTACAAAGTTTTTCCCCTTCACTGTTTTTAATTTAAACTGAGTAAGTTAAGCACGAAAAGGTTTCTGGACTTTCAGAAGATGCTAACAGAGACTTCTTCTTTCTGTACTTTCTCAGATTCATGAATTCTGATAAAAGGCTTTCCACATTTGTAGATTCACAGGATTTCTGCCTTCGGTGTGTTTTCTGATGTGCTATGAGTGATAACTTCTGGTAGAAAGTCTTCTCACATTCATTACATTTGTAGGGTTTCTCTCCTGTGTGGGTTCTCTGATGTACTCTGAGGGATGACTTGTGGTAAAAAGTTTTGCTACATTCATTACATTTATGAAGTTTCTCTCCTGAGTGAGTTATTTGATGCTTAGTAAGAGCTGATTTCTGGTTAAATGTTTTGCTGCATTGAATACACTTATATGGCTTCTCTTTTTTATGTCTTTTTTGATGTACAGTAAGGGATGACTTCTGGGAAAAACTTTTCCCACATGCATTACATTTATATGGTTTCTCCCCTGTGTGTCTTCCCTGATGTACTATAAAAGACGACTTCTGGAAAAAGGTTTTCCCACATTCATTACATTCATAGGGTTTTTCCCCTGTGTGAGTTCTCTGATGCACAATAAGTTTTGACTTCACTGAGAAAGACTTCCCACAGTCATTACACTCATAGGGCCTTTCTCCAGTATGAGTTCTCTGATGATAAATGAAGTTTGGCTTTTGTGAGAATATTTTCCCACGTTCGTTACATTCATAGGGTCTTATACCTGTGTGTATCCTTTGATGTACTATGAGGAATGAACTGTAAACAAAGGTTTTTCCACAGTCTTTACACTCATAGGATTTCTCCCCTGTGTGAGTTCTCTGATGCACTTGGAGATTTGACTTCTCACAGAATTTTTTCCCACTTTCACTACACTCATAGAGTTTATCACCTGTGTGTGTTCTCTGATATACTGTAAGGCCTGACTTATATCTGAAGGCTTCCCTACATTCAATACATTCACAGGGTTTTTGCCCTGTGTGTATCTGTGGATGAACTGTAAGGCCTGACCTATTTGTGAAGGTTTTCCCACATTCAGCACATTCATAAGGTTTCTCCCCTCTGTGTATCTTATTACGTACCACGAGAGATGAACTGTGGCTGAGAGTTTTCCCACACTCATTACATTAATAGAATCTTTCTCTTATGTGTGTTTGCTGATGTTTAAAGAGAACTGATATATGCCAAAAAGAACTCCCATAATGACTATTTTGAAAGGTTTTCTTTTCTGTGTATGTATGCTGTTGAGAGAGACTTGGTTTCTTAAAGATTCCCCTACCTTCATTACATTCAAAACTTGTTTTTCCTTTTTGAACTCTTTCAGTGTCAATGAAGAGTGATTTCTTGCCAAAATTATTCTCACACTCATAGTATTTTTTCCCATGATTCCTCCATGGTGTTTATTTAGAGATTTCTCACTAACAGACCTCCTCCCACAGTCATTAAACTCATAGCGATTCTCCCTTGTGTGAGTTCTCTGATGAACAAGGAGGTTTGGATTGTCAGAAAAGGCTCTTAGTTGTTCATTATATTCACAGGGTTTCTTCCCGGGCACACTCTCTTATGGGTACTGAAGGCTGCCTTCTCATGAAAAGCTTTCCCACACTCAAGGTATTCAAAAATTTGCTTCAGAGTTTGAATATCCTGATGCTGAAGTAAGTCCTCATTCTGACATATGGCTTTCTCATTTCTGTCACACTCAAAAGGTTTCTTTCTGGCATAAGGATGCTCATGTCTTATATGAAGGAGCAATTTCACATGTGCACTGAGCTCATCAAGCTTCCTTACAAAGGAGTTTCTATTACTAACAATTCTGAAATATAATTCACATTCATTATACATAAGTCATATTTATCAGGTATTCTTCTCATTGGAACAAGGTTTGAATTTACATTAAATATTTCTCCTAAAACACTATTTCTGTCTTCTGTCAATATTTTGTTGGTGACAAAACCAGCTTTCCCCAAATGCTGGTCTTGGTTTTCCTGGTTCTTCTGCATCAGTTCGACTTTCCAGAATTCTGGAAATGAGAATAGTTTACCATATCTTGTAAATATGAACACATTTCATGTGGAAAGGGGATGTAATATGGAAATGCTCTAGGATAGCCCAGGCATCTGGTCTGAAAGTAATCCTGAGGGCATACATCTCACTCCCTTAGGATTAGACAAAACAAATTGAATAGGAAAAAAGGAGAGGAATCTGCAAATAAAAACACAGTAATCTTGCACTTTAGAAATGTGACTTTCAAAACTGGATAAAGTGGAATAAACAAATACAACAAATGATACTTTAGGATGAACGGTAGAGGCATGAAGGGGAATCATTAAAGGCATTGAATAGTAGGTAAAATTGCCAGAAAAAAAATTAGATGATAGTGTTTGAGAGGCAACAGCAAAGGAAAAATTAAGTTTGGAGGAGGCAAATACAGGTTTTTATCTCCTGCTGTAAAATACTCACTAATACATGTTTCCAATGCATCACTACTTCTTTTCTTTATTTTTATTTTTTGTTTTTTATTTTTTGTTTTTTCAGACATTGCCCAGGCTGGATTGCAGTGGCACAATCTTGGCTCATTGCAACCTCCACCTCCCAGGTTCAAGCGATTCTCCTGCCTGATCCTCTCAAGTAGCTGGGATTACAGGCGTCCGCCACCACGCCCGGTTAAATTTTTGTATTTTTAGTAGAGACGAGGTTTCACCATCTTCGCCAGGCTGGTCTCGAACTCCTGACCTCAGGCAATCCACCCGCCTCGGCCTCCCAAAGTGCAGGGATTACAGGCATGAGCCACCTTGCCTGGCTCTTCTTTTCTCTTCCACTCATCAACACCAAATTACAAATTCAGAGAGCAATAACTGTCCATGTGCAAAAGAAAACTCCTATTACCCAGACAGTAATTCTCACTCTAGCTGATTCACACAAAAAGCCAATGCCCAGAAAAAGCAGACATGTAGGCTATGGAAACAAGATCAGGTATGTAGTTTTATTCTGCTGTTTTATGTTCATTTTATTCTACCACAGTTGTCATTAATGAACCTGTCATAGCCATCAAATCATAAAATTTCCCTATTTATCAACTTACTTCATAAAGTCTTATACCTCACACAGCTCTATTTTTATATATAAAGTCATCCTTTACTTTTCATACATATAATATATAATATATAACTCTATATATTATATATATGAATATACATATATAATTTTTTAACCATTTATTTATTTCAGTATGTCTGGTTTCTCTTTCCATTATGAGCTTTAAAGACCACAGTTTTCAACCTAATCTTAGAATCTTTACTGATCTTCATACAGTTAATCCTCATTATTCATGGATTTTGTGACTACAAATCCATCTACTCATTCAAACTTATTTGTAAACCCAAAACCAAGACTCTTGGTGCTTTCGTTGTCAAGAACATGCACTGAGCACTTAAAAATTTCAGTCACCCAACACACATATTCCCAGGTGAAACTGAACAAGTCAATGCTCTAGCTTCTTGTTTCAGTTCTCATACTATAAACAAGTGCCCTTCCCTGCTACCGTTAGTGCCACATTTTTCAGTTTTGTGGGTTTTGCTGGTGATTTCACTGTTTAAAATAGTCCCCTAGTGTAGGACTGAAGTACTTTCTCTTGTGTTCCTAAGTGCAAGAAGGCTGTGATGTGCCTGTGGAGAAAATATGTGTGTTAAATTAGCTTTATTCAGGCATGAGTTGTAGTGCCGTTGGCCATAAATTCAATATTAATAAATCAGCTATATATATTAAATAAGATTTTTTTAAAATAAACCCATATAAAAAAATGTTATGTATGGATCAGCTAACAAAAATGTGGGCAAAGCCTGGCAGGAACTAACCCTGTATTTCTTCTGGGAGCAATGATTCAATATTCATTAATTCAGTGCTTGTGGTAACTTTCCAGAACATAAATACCATGAATCATGATAATCAACTATATCTTTTTATTATGAAGTTTCCTCTGACAACCATCACTCTGTTCTTACCCAGATTCAACACAATATTAACAATACTATGGCCAAAAACCTACCCATCCTTGAGCCTAGTGTCCCAAAGCACTAAGAAAAAAAACAGATAAAGTCCACACTCACAGACCAGATCTGACAAATGGATTCTATTTGCTATTGGCAACTATCACTCCTTATTACCACAATCACTATCCTCTGCTGTCCACAATCCAAACAGTCTTTCCTCCATAAATTGCTCATCCCCAACCACAGACCTGCATTTATAAGCATCCACTTCGTTACTGGGCCTTTCAATCTCAGCCCTACTCAGCAGCAGGATGCCTTCAAGAAATAGCTATTATCCCATAATATCCAAAAAACTCTTCATAAATCTGTGCAGTTAAAAGGTGGCGATATTAACTTTTTCACTTTGTATGGCACTGCTCTATAACAAATATTTCTTTCTAACAGTTTAACTTTAAAATATTTTCATGATGGTTTTGTTCTTTTGCCACAAATGCACCCTAAGGTCCGAGCAGGTGTTGCTCTATTTCTGATTTCTTTTAAATTAGCTGAATGAGTAGTAAATCAGTGGACACATACTAGTAAGTGGAATGCATCACAATTTCTTGGAAAGCTATTTCAAAACACAAACCTTAAACTTTTGCCAATTTACTCCCAATAATCAAGCTGAATATTTTCACCTTAGCATATCTACTTGAAAAGAGTTCCTTGGTTTTCTGTGTGAATAAATATAAAAGAGTACTCATAACCCAGGCTATACAATCAACAAAGTAATATCTACTGCATGTTACTTAGTAAAAGAAGGAAGAGTAAAAGAAGGATCTTTCTCTCTAGGGGTAGAAAATTGTAATTGGTAAAAAAAAAAAAAACTAGTCAAGAACTTAATCTGGTCAGGTATCAGATAATCAGGTATTAGATAATCTAATAGATTAACATACAGTCATTTTATGTACATGACTAACGCAGCTAATGGATATTTCACAAAAAAAAATCAGAAAACTTCAGCTCTAACCTAAAATGTATGTAACGAGAACAACAGCAATAAGACTTTATTATATATACCAGGCATTGCTTTAACCACTTTTCACTTATTCATTCATTTAACCATCTGTACAGGAAAGATACACGCTAGAATGAAAAGGGCAAACAAGGTAAGGAGCACTACATGTTTGAGAGACATCTAGGTGACTTTACCAAATGGAGTTGGGCAGGGTTTGGGGCAACAGAGAAAAATAAATTTGGTCAGGCTAAATGTGGCCACATGTGAAGCTTGTTAAAGAACTTACATTTTAGGCCAGGCATAGTGGCTCACACCTGTAATCCCAGCACTCTGGGAGGGCGAGGCAGGTGGATCACAAGGTGAGGTGTTCGAGACCAGCCTGGCCAATATGATAAAACTCCATCTCTACTAAAACTACAAAAATTAGCCAGTGTGGTGGTAGGCGCCTGTAGGCCCAGCTACTCAGGAGGCTAAGGCAGGAGAAACCCCTGAAGCAGGGAGGCAGAGCTTCTAGTGAGCCGAGATCACACCAGTGCACTCCAGCCTGGGCAACAGAGCAAGACTCTGTCTTTAAAAAAAAAAAAAAAAAAGCTTACATTTTAGGCATTAGGTTAAGAGTAGAGAAATCATAGATTTATCCTGCCAGGCTAGTAACAAGGTAAATCAGACATTTGAAGTTTTACATTTTAAATCTAATTCTATCACGAATTAGATTAATCAGAGCATGATCATAATAAATACATGGATCTGCTTGTGGGTGATGTCAGTAGAAAGTAAGAATAAGAAGGTATTTTGAAGACACTTCATAAAAGTGAAAGAAGAACTGCAAAACAACATTAAGAGTGTGATCATGTATGGTGGCTCACATTTGTAATCCCACCTACTCAGGAGACTGAGGCAGAAGCAACATCTGAGCCCAGGAGTCTGGGACCAGCCTGGGCAGCACAGCAAGACCCTATCTCAAAAAAAAATGTCAGAGAGCTAGAAGATTTAAAGTGATTTCATTTTTATCAGTTATAGTAGACCTAATGAATTAAAAATGTGAAGTGATGAATTAAAAATATGAAGTGAAAATTTAAGATTTGTGAGATACAATTTTACTTTCTAGCTTTTACTATATTGAGAAAGTTAGAATTAAAACGCAAGAAGAATTTAACATAAGTAAGTAAAATACTGTAGGACTCTAGAGCAAACAGGACAAGTGAGAGAGTGATATAATTTGAGAATCACAAGCTTTAAGTCTTGAGAATGTATAAGAGAGTTGTGAATAATGTTTTGAGAGAATTGCTGTATGAGAGAACAGAAGATCCACAGGATAGCTTCTGAAGATGCATAGAAGAGCCCTGGGAATCACCATCCATCCATCTAACAGATATGTTATTATGGGACAATCGTGTGCCAGGCTTCATTCCAGCAACAGAGTATGAAGGTCTGAGCAGGGCAGACAAGAGGTGGATAAGCACTTCAAGATTAAGTTGACAGAAAGAGGGTAATATGGCAAGACGGTCATCAAAAACACAAACTTTAGAGGTGTCCCATTTTATGGCCAATGCAGACAGTCTGGGAACCTGTGTGGCACTGGCGTAGGAAGTGCTATACCTAGGGGACATAAATTCAGTCAATGCCTGTGGCAATAGTGATACACAGCAGGGTATCCATTTGCTCCTTTGTAACTTAAATCAGAGAACTC